GTGACATCGTCGGCAAAGGGCCGAGGCATCGAGAGCAAGGCCCCCGTGATGCACGTGAAGTGACACTTGAGTATCAAATTAGTTGCTGCATGTCATGCGTGACATGGTCGGCCAAGGGCCGAGGGATTGAGAGCGAGGCTCCTGTGATGCACGCGAATCGACACGTAAACCACTGAGCGCTGTCGCTGCATGTCATGCGTGACATGGTCGGACAAGGTCCGAGACATCTTAGGCACGACCCTTCAGATGCGCGTGGAGTGACACGTTATCCACTGGACGAAGACTGCTGGGTCAGCAGTTCTTCATCGATGTTCTAAATAACATCGGAGCTCCAATGGAGCGGAAAGTGAGGGTGACACCGGGCGGCGCGGAGTGTGTGTTCATCCTGGTCTCACCGAGACATAGAACCTCTGGACAGAGGCGACGGCGACGCCATATGCTGACTGCAAGACGCCGGGCGTTGACCCTGATCCAGGGTGTGTCTACCGTAGATGACGGTACACAGCTATACACCCTCGTCAACGGTATGACGAGGAAGGAAGATGGCGACGTCCGCCTCGATGCTATGCCTGCAGTAGATGCTCTTGTTGATCTGGACGAGATGTCCCATGAAGAATTCGGCAGTACCTTGAAGGCAGGCGATTTGGCCGAAGTGGTCATTGTACGACCGGACGAGGAGATAAACTCTTCATCGCTTCTGGATGAAGCTGTCTTGGAGACAACCAAGAGAGTGCTAAACGCACGAAGTGGATAGTCGAACCTACGGAATCCCTTGGATCCGTTCTATCCTTTGGAAAAGGAGTTTCAAGACGTCGTCTCCAAAGACCCGCCTTCGTTCCTACCTCTGGACCGAGATGTGCTTCATGAGATCGACCTGGTTCCGGGAACCAAATACTGCGTAACACACCATGGCCCCTGCTAAAGGAGCAGTGCGACGTCATTGACGCCTTTTTCCGTGCGAAGCACGGTGCGTGAGAGCAAGTATCCCCATTCGACACCCACGTTTTGTCTTCGGAATCCAAACGGCAAGTGGCGTATCGTTCATGCTCACAATAAGCTCAACGCTGCTACCATTCCGACACAGACAGCGATTCCTAGAAAGGATGTTCTTTAGAACAACTTGGTGGGATGTATTAAGTACGGTGCACTCGACTTGGTCGATGAGTATTACCAATTGCTCATGAGAGCGAGTGATATTCTGCTAACAGCGGTGAGCACTTCGAGCGGCATGCTCCGGGAGTGGCTGGTGATTCCCCAAGGGCTGTCAAATGCACCAGCAACATTTTATCGTCACAGACATGATTTGACGACATTTTCGTTCATAGTCGTGCGGAGCACGAGAGGACGGAGGAGAAGAACCTCATCGTCCATTTAAGAGCGGTGCTCGAGTGCATGCGCACGAACAAACTGTACGCCAATGCAGACAAGTGCATATTTGGTGCAGAAAAGATTCTCTTTTAGGGTGCTTCATTGGGAGGCGTGGCCTTCGAGCGGATCCCGCTAAGGTCAAGGCCGTTGTAGATTGGCCGGTTCCAAAGAACCAGAAGGACTTGCGTAAGTGGCTTAGTCTTGCCAA